AGGGGTTAGAACACTTGAAGCACAAAGGCTTGGCTTCTGGTACTGTGTATTCTGTGGTTCCTATTTGTCTGAATAAACAGTGCTAAAACCAAAATGAGAGAAGTATGTTCGAGAGATGAAAATACACAATACAAAGTTTACAACGGAAGTATATTAGTAACACCACACTAGACTGTTTAAAACTAGATAGACTTTGATGAGGAAATGGTATTTACATTTGGCTCTCTGTCCAGACAGAAACAGAGACTAGGGGTTTTAGAAAAGGAATGTTCAACATATGGAACTTACAGAAAAAGTGGCTGTCTAGTTGTGATTATATGGAGTGGAAGTGGTGAGGCATAGCTGGAACAGAGATGCTGAAAGCTACAGTGAATATCTCAACCACTGTGTTCAGAAGCAGTAGTAACTTTACAGCGTATGAGTCATTTCATTTTACCTGTTCACTTGTCCATTTACAGTAATGATAGGTAGAAGGCAAAGGGGGAGAGAATATACAAAAATGAAGCTGAAAATATAAATGCTGGTCCTTGTTATCTAATTGGAAACATAGAAAAGATATATCAATAAAGACCATCAGGGATTTTATTTATAAACTCCTGGAATATTCAAACTTTTTTCTGTATTAATTAATAGATTAGGTAGGTAGATGATATACAGACAGATAGATATATGTGAACATGTATATTTGCATGTGTATATCCCAATATGATTTATTGCATTTCTTCCACTAAATTTTATGAGACATTGGACATAATAACTGTAAAATGTTGTGCCAAAATAACCATAGCCTAAACTATGCAAATATAAAAATTGTCTTTTATCAAACAGAAAGTAAATATTAAATTCTGCTGTTCCTCAAGAAAATGGTTGGGGATGAGAACTTTCAGTCTTTCTCTAAGACAGGGACGCTGGCAGGGAAGTCAAGCTTCAGATGCCCTGCATGGTAAGTCTGCTTTGTTTGGCTTTCAGCATCAATATTACTAACAGACTTCCATTATGAATTTTGTACATGTTTGTTTAATCATGTCATCTGTAGTACACTGTTCTCTCCTTTTTGTTTGAAAGTTTATAGTCTTCTGATCCAAATACATTGTAAAAACTTGCTTGTTTTTCACAGAGCACCTACATATGACCCAGGATGAGAAGCAAAGCCTTTGAACTCCATATTTTCTAACCCCTGTCATTTTCCAGGGAAACTGAATTAATTGTTTTACTAAAAGTTAGAGGTGAACAGCAGATGTCTGTAGCAAAAGAACCCTGACTGTTCATTACAACTAAGCTCATAAAAACCTCCACACAAAAAATATGAAATTGCACCAAATAACTCAGTGATTTTTTTTATTTCAGGAGATAAATATATCTTTTCTTTAATTTTTATTACACTTATTTCTCTGTGGGTCTGCCTGCCTGTCTCTGTGTCTATCTCTCTGTGTCTCTGTCTCATCTCTCTGTCTTTCTGTCTGCATATGTGTGTGTGTGTGTGTGTGTGTGTGTGTGTGTGTGTGTGTGTGTGTGTGTGTGTGTGTGCATGTGTGTAGCATAGAATATATATGAAAGTCAAAGGACATCTTACAGGAGTCTGTTTTCTCTTTCTGTCATGTAGGTTCTAAGGCTCAAACTCAAGTCATCAGGCTTGGTGGGGGCACCTTTTTCTGCTGAGCATCTCACCAAGTCCTGGTGAAGGGACCTTAATATCAGGTATTGTTTTATAATTTAATATATATATATATATATATATATATATATATATCACCCAAAATTAGTTTCCTTCTTTCAAGAAGCCTTATGTTTTTAAACTTTTGTTTTTGAAGTCTGGTTTCCTAGGTGGGATGTATCTATTAGTTGCCTAGAAATGTGTTTTCCTATTTATTGCCATTAAATTATGCTATCCTTTCATCCTAAATGATGACTTTTCTCTAAGGTTAGTATCACTAGAATCTACACTATTAGAGGTGTTCTATTTTGATTTTGCCTTCATTACAGAGATCCTATGTTCAAGATTCTATGTAGTTTTGTTGTTTCATGTTTGTAAAGCCCATAAAAGTTATTTTTATCATGTGGCCACTACAGAAAAGCTATCAAGATCATTCAGGATGATATTTATCTCAGCCACTTCGAGGAAAACTTGGGTTTGAAACAATGTAAAAACTGAGCAAATAACTAGAAATAAAAGTTTTATGAAAGGGAAGGCTGTGACTGGATAACAAGTAATGAAAGTTACCACAGCAATAACACAGGAATGTGTAGACACATATCTACATGCTTTGTTTATATCCAGTCTACTATCCTCTATAGCAACACAGCAGAAGGAGATTGTTTTATTTCACATAATTACATGTAGGTACGTTGGTGCTCAAGCTTTATATCTCTAGTGGGCAGAAAAGTGGTATTTGAGTGTGCTCATCAAAGTGGCACACTCCTTTCACTTGGCCTCACTGATAACACTGAGAATCTCAGTGGGAACTGACCTCTGTCATTTAGGTTTTAATTAATCTAAGTAAAGTCAAGTTCAACTCTGAGCATTATAACACTTGGGAAATTGTTCCTTTCTTTCTGAAGATGATTTCTATTCTTCTATTGTCAACTAATAGTACCTTAAATAAATAATTAATTGATTTTACATTCATCTTTTTTTCTTGAAAAAAAGATTTTTTTCATAATATATATTCTGAATACCTTCCCCTCCACTAAGCCATCCAGATTATAGCCAAATATATATTAATATATATAATAAAGTAAGATAAAAATAAAAACAACCATAAATAAAACAAAACAAACAAAAAGAAAGTAGTTAAGCCTCAAACTTTACAATAGGGCTTTGTCCAGGTAATTTTGATTCATCCTTTGAAACAAAAGATAATTATGAAAGAGAAAAGAATGAGTGTAATATTTTAAGGAATGTTTTATAGGACTAAATTAAAATAGAGGCATTAGCAAATCAAACTATATGACATGTGAAGATATCACAACAAAAGAAATAATTACAGACAAAAGAAAACCATTCTTAACTAACAAATCTCATTGTTTTGCTAGGTTGCAATTCAAGCAATATCAAGATTGAAAAATGCCTTTAAAAAGATTTGCAGAAGTATGAAATTTTCAGGAAAAATATGAAAATGTAAGTTTTTTCATAAAATTTGTATGATATATATTTTATCAGCCATCTAATATAAAATATATAAATATAAAGTAATACCACCAGAAAATTTGACATAAAACTTGCTTTTTCTGAAAATTCATCAGTACTGTAATTATGGTCACAATTATGTGTAAGGTAAAGATATACAGAACTAAAGATATAAATATACCCATTTATCTCTCTAGAAGTATATATAATAAACTGAAGGTATTTCTATCAGCACAGAAAAAGTATGAATTCAAATCAGTTATATTTATTTATCTTTATATGTTTACTTTGATTTGTTGACTTAATCATGATAATAAATTATTCTAAAGTAACCCAAAATTAATCAAGTGATCTAAAGTATTGGAAAACATCTAATATTTACCAAAAGCAATGATTCTTCTAGCATTAGATAACATACTTCATGCTTCAGAAATTGTTGCTTTATAAAATTATCATTTATGAAAATAAAAATTATATGTCTCAAAGAAAATATGTATGTATTATTACACTGTTTAATTTAAATTTATACTTGAGATTGTAAAATATAAAAACATGTGTTCAGTGAGATGCAGGAGCTGAAGAGCTGCTGCTATAACTGACAACCTGAGATCCGTTCTCTGGACCCACATGGTAGAAGTAGAGAATCAACTTCTCTGGCCTTCACTTGAATGTGATGGCATAAGTACACAGGAAGGCATACATACACACACACACACACACACACATACACACACACACACAGAGAGAGAGAGAGAGAGAGAGAGAGAGAGAGAGAGAGAGAAACATAAATGAACATGATAATAGTTTTATAGAAATTCTATGTCAAATTTATGATATGAAATTATTGAGAATTTTTTAATCATATAAGATACAAATGTTTAGATAAGCAATGGAAAGAAAACATAAAACTTAAATTGTAATAATGGATGTTTTCACATAATATTGAGAAAATATATAATTCACAATATATATGTAAATATACATAAGTATATATGGACATATGCCATTTTAAAGAACATTTTTCAAGTTTAAAGGTATCAAAAATTTTAATAAAAGCTCAAACTTATAGGTAGAAAAGCTTAATTTTCAATGGAATAAACCTAAGTGTAGTAAGAATATTATAATATGGTTTTCTTTGATTATAACAACTTAAAGAATCATCCAAACCCTTATTTTATCATCGTTATGGCAAAGTGGTATATTGAATATAAGAGGTAATAGTAAAATATGATTAAATAAATTGCTTAAAGTATAATTTATCCAGAAGCTAAAGGATTAGAAAATAGCACAAAGATGAATGAATTGAATTGAGATTTTGGTTTTAATGGAATTACTAATCTTAGTGGTTAATTGCATTAAATATTCCCTTTCACAGAGCATAGGTAAGAAATCTATGTAGTTATGTACATATTCATGTATTCATTTCATCATACACATATATGTATGCATGCACTCATGTAGGTACTAATTTCATCAAAACATTTATAATGAGGTAGAGAAAGTATATGTGCTCATATCCAGCCAACAAACACATGTTTTTTTCTAAGTTTCCAAATCACTAAATCACTTTTTCAAAGAATAAATTCTACACTTTGGAATATTAACAAGAATCAAGGTACTTGAACAACATTCATATTTTTCAGTCCTCAAGTTCAAAAACTTTGACCCAGACCATTAGCTTCTTAGTCAATGGTAAATCTCTTTGAGACCTAGGTATCGATGCTGAATTTTTAAAAGAAGGATTTTGGGGTAACTGAAAAATTCAGAGATTTCATGACAAAGAAAGCTGTAACTAACAGCCTGGGGAAGAACTGGAGAATTTCAAGACCAGGACACTGACCCCAATATGCCATTTCTTTCTTGGCAGGTTAAACATTTGTCAGCTACTTCCTGCCTACTACAACCATTGACATGATTCATAACAATAGTGTGACTGAATTCATTTTGTTTGGGCTGACACAGGATCCAGAAAAACAGAAGGCAGTATTTGGAGTCTTCTTGATTCTTTACATTATGACACTAATGGGGAACTTTCTCATTGTGATGACCATTAAGATAAGTCAGACACTTGGGAGTCCCATGTACTTTTTTCTTTTCTATTTGTCATTTGCTGATGCTTGTTTCTCTACAACTACAGCCCCTAGGTTGATAGTGGATTCCCTCTCTCAGAAAAAAACCATTACCTACAATGAATGTATGACTCAGGTCTTTGCAGCTCATTTCTTTGGGTGCATGGAGATCTTTGTACTAATCCTCATGGCCTTTGATCGCTATGTAGCAATCTGTAGGCCTCTAAGATATACAACTATAATGAGCCAGCGTGTCTGTGGTGTATTAGTGATTCTTGCCTGGGTTGGTTCTTGTATCCACTCTTCAGCACAGATTTTCTTGGCTTTAAGACTACCATTCTGTGGCCCAAATGTGATTGATCACTATTTCTGTGATTTGCAGCCACTGTTGAAACTTGCCTGCATGGATACCTATGTGATCAATTTGCTAGTTGTGTCTAATAGTGGTGTCATATGCATGGTAAGTTTCATACTGCTGCTTATCTCCTATATTGTAATTTTATACTCTCTGAGAAACCATAGTGCAGAAGGAAGACGAAAGGCCCTTTCTACTTGTACTTCTCATTTCATTGTGGTGGTCATATTTTTTGGTCCCTGTATATTTATATACACACGTCCACCAACCATTTTTCCAATAGACAAGATGGTGGCTGTGTTTTATACAATCGGGACACCTTTGCTCAACCCTCTTATCTATACTCTGAGGAATGCAGAAGTAAAAAATGCCATGAAAAAATTATGGTGTGGTAAAATATGACTTCAGTTGATGAACAATAAATGATAATTCTAAAGTATAGCTCCTTAAGAGTTTAGTTTTGATACATGACCTGGAAAAATAAAATATTTCTGAGAATATATAGTTAAGATTTCTGTCTTTCTATGTGTGTATAAATAACAGCCTGGGACTAGTGAGATGGCTTAATAGTAAATGTTCTTGTCACCAAGCCTGATGACTTTAGTATAATCCTTGGAACCCACAGGCTAAGGAGAGAATAAACTCCCATATGTTTCAGTGACCTCCTCACATGTGTCGTGTTAGGTAGAGACACAGAAATAAGTATAAACATAAACACATGCAATAAAAATTCTAAAAGTCATAATCAATATGGATAGAAAATTGATTAATTTTCTATACATATATATATAGATAGGTAAAAATTAATTGGTAAATAATTGTATATAGGTGAAAGTATGTATATTGATTACTTTTAAATATTTTATTCTACTCTATTTTAAACATGTTTATAAAAATCCATACAGAGCAAACTTTATACTTTACCAAGCTAAGGATTAAAAGCATGATTTTAGAAATAATAATCTGTCTACATCCTTACCTCCCTGGGGGATTTACAGTGATGGACAATTGAACTATGGCAAATACTTGAAAGTACACCTGAAACCCAGACTTTTCCTGAAAAGCTAATGGACCTCCTGTGGATGGTGACGGGAGGAGCCTTTCATTTGGATGTGAACTGGAGTGTTTTTCACATTGTCATTGGAGAAGTAGGGCCAGGAGAGGAGAAATTTAGGCAGCCTGAATATACAGACAAAGGAAGAAGACCATTGTCTAATAGGGGTAAAAGACACATAAGGATAGAGGGGGTGGTTCAGAGAGGCATGGAAAGACTGATTTTCTCTGGGTGGAGAGAAAGAACATCATCAACCTTATTGTTTGTTTCAGCTATGTGAATATTTGAAAGAAAAATGTACTTTCTGCTTAAGAATGTATTGTTAACCTGGAATAAGTTAAATTCTTAGTAGCCCTTGAGTACCAGAAATGACGGAAAGAACAGGACTTGTTTGTTGGCTTTAACTAGTACATGAAAATTTAGAATTCATATTTCCAAGAAGGAAAGTCAAAGCTAGAGCTTACCCCCTTGGACTTTTACCTATTTGAGTATTTTCAAATGTGTATTTTCATTTTCAATATAATCTAATCAATATTATTATAATTCACACACACTCTGAACTCTTCTTCTCACAATAAAATAAAGCCATGCTTTTTCACTATCACAGGTTATAAATTACATTGTTACCCAAAAATACCACTTCAAGTGATATATGGTCTTCTAGAATTCAATTCATTGGTAAGTAGTTTGGGTAGCATGCAGAAGGCCCTGGGTTCTATCCTGAGAACAAATAAGAAACAAATAAACAAAAAATAAGAGGTGATGAAAAAGGCACTGCACTGTGTCAATAAGAGCATTTCCCATTTGAACATGGGGGTTATCATATAACAAATTTTTCCAATAATTTCATTATGAACAATTGATAGCAGATTAGGAATTGATATCTCAAATGATATTTTAAAAAGTTTCTATTCTCCTATTCATAAATGTCAATTTTGCCTATATCCTTTCCAAATGGATATTCATAATTTTCATTATTTTATGTCTTTGAGTTTTGTTTTCAATACCCATGGAGATTTTTAAATATAATTGCTTGTAAGTAAGTAAAAAACAAATAAACATCTATTTCTCACCTTTGGCTGTTCCTTCAAAGTTCATATTGCAAGAAAGACCTCTTTATAAGTCTTTAAATGCAAATTTATAAGGCTACATGAAGTCTTCTAGATGTTAGGCAAACTTGGAGTTCCATATCCACCAGTTATTAGATAAGGCCTCCATCAGATATTTACATGCTGAGTTGAAATGCACCAATGCCAGCTTTGATCATGATTGTCACCATGCAAAATTGTGGAATCACCTAAAAGATAGGTCTCTGGGCATACCTGTGAGGGATGTTGTTAATGTTCATTTAGATGGAAAAGCACACCCTAACCGTAGGTGACCGAATTCAATGGCCAGGGGTCTCTTGGACTGCATTAAATAGGTGGAAGATTTTGTGTTTTTACTTTCTTCTCAAAAATGACATTTCTAATTATATACCCTTGGTACAGAGGAAACTATCTACCCTTTGCTGTCACTGAACACATCCTCTCACCTATTCAAAATGCTGTATCTTTCCACTCCACTCAGGCTGTTTCCTACAAGACTTCTATGTGGTTCCCTGTGAACAGTGAATGGCAAATGTCTATACCTCTCTATCCCTGAGAAACAAACACTGTTAAGTAATGAACACTGTCATTATGGGAATAGTGTCAGCGAGAAACTACTGTGCATATCTTTTACAAAGTTAACAAGTGACTATCCCTGCCTACACTTTTATGATCTCAGTCCTTTGGGCCCATCAATGGGTTTGGTTTTGGGCTAAGAAATAGGAATAACAGAGTGATAGTTCATCTGAATTTAGTATTACAAATCATTTTGACTCATGCTGGTCAGCATTTGCCCTCTTTCCCTCTTAATTTGGAAATTCATATACTGTCATTATTATGGAAATAAGCAGAGTGGATTGAAGATTTTTGTGATTTCATATTATCTCTAATCAAACTTTTAAATTTAATGCTTACTGGCATAATAAATGTTGGTGTATAAATATGTTGAATGTCAGCTATTACTATGTGATGATTTATTTCCATTGATAAAGGAGTCGCACATTAGTCCCATATTTTGCTAAGCATTTTCTTCAAAGACATATTTAATGAGAAAATCACACTGTTTGTTAAAAATAATATTCTTTGGGGTTTTTTGCAACAGATTCTCTGTCTATGTAGCTTTGTATATCCTAGAACCCATTTTGTACACCAAGATAGCCTTGAACTGAAGACATCCTTTTACTTTGGCTTCCTGAATGTTTTGGGGAATAAAGGCATGAGCCACCATGCCCAGCCTTCAAAAGTACTTTTAATTCTGTTTGCTAAATTAGTCAGCAAAGCAATAGGTGATTCAAATTTGTAGGATGAAGTTGAAAATATTTTAACAGTAAGAATTAACTAATATCATACTCTTTCTTAGGTTGAACTTTATCAATTTAGGAATCCCTACATATTAAACACATAAAGTTAAGCATCTCACTCTATGATGCTTCCCAATATATAGTATTTGTAATTAATACTCAATAAAACCATTGCTGAGATTTTTCAAAAATATCCAAATAATGATATTAGTTCTAGAATTTCTATTCATTATTGTTAAATAGCACAATAAGTATAAAATTAGATAGATTATATTATCATGGAATACTTCTAAAGTAATTGTGTATGTTGCTCTTCAATTGAGAAAGGAAAAATTAGATTATAACTCATTCACACTTTCTACTCAACTTACACTACAGATAAAAATTGGACTCTATCAATGTTATGAAAGAAGTTTCAAATCTGAGTCACTTTGACAAGGACCTATGTCCTCCCACAGACATATATGCAGCAGCATCGCTCCCTTTCTAAGTTTGCTTCCTTCTACTGTGTGTATAGATCATGTTCCTCCATTTATTGGTCTCTTAAATTTTCTGCAAATTGCCATGGATATTTACTCTTTTATTTCCCCCTTTAGAATTTTCCATCTACTGATAGTCATGTGGTCGTTTGCATTATAATACTTTTATGAATCATTTGTTTTTATCATTATTATGATTATAATATCTTATTATTTATCCTGAAGAAATCATATGAAAAAAGAATATCTCAAATTTCATCCCTGAGTAGAAATCTTCACAATCTCCCAACATAAAGCAACTTATTAAAACTCATCATAGAATTCTACTTAATAATATCTCTGATACTTGGGTTATTTATATTTTATTTTTTCTTTTTTGTTTTTCGAGACAGGGTTTCTCTGTGTAGCCTTGGAGCCTATCTTGGCACTCGCTCTGGAAACCAGGCTGGCCTGGAACTCACAGAGATCCACTTGCCTCTGCCTCCCAAGTGCTGGATTAAAGGCATTTGCCAATAATACCCGGCTTCTTGGGTTATTTTTAATCACTAAGTTACTTAATAATTTAGATAACTATAAAATGCATCCTTGATCATTATTCTGAAAGAATAAAGATATTTACTGAGGCCATAACTCAGTGGTAAAACACTTATCCATGATGGGAAAGGTTCAGTGGTCAATCCCCACTTTGTTGAGAAAACTAATGGCAGAAAAGGAAGAGAGAGTATAGTGATGCCGGGTGGCTTCACTAGAAAACAACACTCAGTCTTACAGTTAATATTTTATTCATGCAAATTCATTGAAGATATTTATAAATTCAGAAACATTGCTTCATACAAGTGTATAATGTACTTTAATCATATTCTGAACTCTATTCATTGTCAATTTGTTGCTCAACACCCCTACTTTGTCTCCTTCTATCTTCTGAATAGTTCCAGTTCTCTTCTCATATTACATATTTCTGTTTCTTTTTACATGCTTTGATTTCCAAGAAAGGACATTTTTATTCATTATTCATTTCTGAAAAAAAAAACTATTTCTTATGAGAAACATGATGCTTAGCATAAAAGTTACTTGAAAAAGAAAATCTTCTACCTCCTCCAAAGTTTCTTCATAGCATTTTTCATCTCTGCATTCCTCAATGTGTAGACAAAGGGATTCAGCATGGGTGTGACAATTGAATCTGACACAGCCATGGCCTTGTCTATGGGGTAGGTAGACACAGGCCTCACATATAAGAAAATGCATGGCACAAAGAATAACACAACCACTGTGAAGTGGGAACCACATGTAGAGAGGGCTTTTTGTTGCCCTTCAGAATTATGAGTCTTTAGAGAACATAGGATAATTATGTAAGAGGCAATTAAAATAAGGAAGATGGCCATACACATCACGCCACTGTTGAAGATGACAATAAGACCCAGGGTGTGGGTATCCATGCAGGCCAATTTCAGCAACTGAAACAAATCACATATGAAGTGATCTATGATATTGGGACCACAGAAAGGTATTTGATACATGAACAGAAGCTGAATGGTTGCATGTGTAAACCCCCCTACCCAAGCTCCTCCCAACAGCATGCAACACATGTGAGGACTCATGGTGGTCATGTAGTGAAGAGGTTTACAAATGGCCACATAGCGATCGTAGGCCATCACAATAAGCAGAATGATCCCCACACCTCCAAAGAAATGTTCTGCAAAGAGCTGGGCCATGCAGCCTTCAAAGGAAATGGTAGTATTTTCAGAAAGGGAGTCTACAATCAGCTTTGGGACAATGACAGAAGAATAG